AGTGCTAGGTGGGTACAAGTCAAAAATATGTAAGGAAACTCACTGTTCCTCACAAGAGAATTCTAATTGCCCTTAGTTCACTCAACTACTGACTAGGATAACCTAGTACTTGAGCAAGGGGTCAGGGGAAAAGAATCCCCTTTACCCAGCAGTCAATACTGTCTTTTATAGGGGTATACATGTGTAGATACTGAGAGGCAAGGTTTTGGTGGGCTTGTTCCCTCTAGTGTTGTTGTGGGCTCTGGTCAAAACTCCTCCTCCCCCCATTCCAAATAGGAAAGAACTAACTACATGAAGAAAGTGATTATGTAATCCAAAGAATTAAATAAAATCAAGAAGATCTGATAGTAACCAAAATCAGAACTCTTCACCTCCCCAAGCTTTAAATAGTGACTGTCCTCAGTCACTTGCTTTAAGAAGCAATAATGAAGGGTAAGTATAAGGAGTGTGGGTAAGGATAAAAGGTATCAATCAAAGTAAGATGAAGAAACAAAGAGAGTGAGTCTCAAGTAAGAATGAGTGTCCATAAAAGAAAGGGGTATAAGGGGATGTTAGAGTAAAGAGAATGTAACCTGTACCAAGGCCAAAGGCTTGCCAGACCAATCCTCTCCAACTCTAACATAGATGGTAGTAGTAGTGAGTAGTGGGTTTCATCCAACAGCTGCTCGGGTCTCAACCTGACACTTCTGGTTCTGATCTGCTGGGTCTGTCAAGGTTAAAATCTGATTACTGTCCTTGAAATCCTTCGTCTCACACTCAGTTAACACGAAGAACGCCCTCCCAATTATCATGTCGAACATTGTGTCCTTCACTACATGAACCAGCATCACCATTGATATTCCACCTACTGACACCTTGAGTCTTGGAATGACACCTTTGATTGCAATTGATCCTGCATTTGCTGGCCTGAGGTTTGTCCACACTTGCTCCTTTGGTACTCCCAAGCGTTTCCAAACGTCTTCATGCATCACATTCATAACAGCTCCCTGGTCCAGTAAGCTCTCAGTCTCCAATTTGTCGTTCAGCTTTACTGTTGCTAGCCTGACTGGTACACTTCCAGCCTTGTTGTTGCTGACTGGGGTGCCTATCTAACACTCCCTTGCTCGACACTGCTCTGATCTGACAGCTTCTGACGTCCTCCTGTGTAATCTGCTTGTGCTTGGTATTCTTGCTGGGCTTGACTGATTCTCATTGTCTCACCACTTGATCCTTGCAGATGCACTTCCGACCTTGTTCATCCAGCTTGCTACTACCCTTTGCAACAGCCTCTGCTGCTCATCTATCACACTATTCTCCCTCATCCTTGCTGGTACACTTCCAGCCTTGTTTGTCACACTTGCTCCTCTGCTCTGCTCTCGTTCTCGTTCTCCAGCTCGAATCTGACTCAATCCGACGTAATCTGCTGCTTTCCTGCACAATCTGCTCGTTCTCAGCTCTGCTGCTGGGCTTGACTGTGCTTTGTCGTCCTTGCATGCAACGCTCGTACCTGTGTGCTGATCTTCTCTGCTGTCAGTCCTTGCTTCCTCACTCATCTCTTCCTCCTCTGCCTTCACAGGTCCACTTCCAGCCTTGTTCAGCATTTCGTCTTGCATCTGAGTCGTCCTCATAAGCTTAGCTACATACTGGCACTCGAGCTCTGGAGCTATTGCAAACAACTCACAGTGTGTCAACATGACAACACTGTCCATCATCCAGTCTAAGACCTGCTTGATGATCTTGCTCGACTTGGCACTTTGCTTCAGTCTGACTTTGACTGGCTTTGTGTTAGCCTTCATGGTCCTTGCCTCCTCTCTTTGTCTCTTCACATCCCTCAAGTGTTCCTCCAACCTCGTCACCTCTGCATCCAAATCTGCTCCAAGAATGGCTTTGTGCTTTTCTCCCTCACTTGCATTCGACCTATCTTTTGCTTCATCAATTGTGCCTACTGTGAACACAGGCTCGTCTTCATAGTATCAGTCTATGTGCTCCTTCAACATTGCTCCCTCTACACTGGCTGGCACAAATGCCCCACTCATCAACACAATCTTCTGCCCCAACCTCATACACTTCCCCCTCTGAGTGTACTCACTCACAGTCCTACAGTCACGTATGAAATGTCCTTGCTTTCCACAAAAGTTGCAGGTCCTCTCGTGCTTCAGGTCAGATTTCACAGAATCGGCAGATTGGTCAGTTTTGCATGCTTGATTCATCAGCATCTTCCTGGACTTGCTTGCTTCGTTGACCTGGGCTTGTAACTCATTGAGCTTCCTCACAATCTTTGCATACTCGTCTCCTGCTTCTTTCTCTGGCTTCTCCTTTGGCAACATCACTGTCTGGTCTCAGCCTGCCTCTGTCTGCCCTGCTAGAAGAACGTGGTCTGCTAGCCTGACTACATCAGCGAATTTGAACAGCTTGCTCACATCCTTGTCCACATAGAGAATCTCCAGTCGTTGCGTCAGGTTTGTCCTCAGCATCCCTCTGATCCCTCTCCAGAACTCACAGTCTAACTTGCATGCTGACATCTTCCCTTGCTCCTTCAAGTACTCTGCTTGCACCTGGAACTCACAGCAGTAGTGGCCAAACTCTGTCTGCACCATCATTTCCTTCTCACTCTGCACATCAACTAGTTGCATGATATTGGCTCTCATGTAGTGTTGACCATTGATCAGCTCTGGATAGAGCTTTCTGATCTCCTCTTTCACGATGCTCCAATCACACGCTCCTTTCTTCTTCAACTCGGGCACAGTAGCCCACAAACTGCTACAGCTTGTTGCTGCATAGTACGTCACTTGCTTGCACATCCACTCAGCGTCCTTCTGGAAGTCAGCAGCTAACATCTCGATGTCTTCAAAGAACTGCAGAAGTTCCTCAAGCTTGCTGCTGTCAAAGTACAGTGCTTCTCTTGATCCTCTTCTCGGCAGCCACGTCATCGTACTTCTCGTGCGTCAAAACGGTCGGTTCGATTCAAAACAAGCGTAGCAAGGCCCTCGAGGCCAAGATCAAGACAAAATCAACCCAGACACTTTAGAACAGAGGCACCACCCCTTGCAGTGGGCTCCAAAATGAGAGGCAAGGTTTTGGTGGGCTTGTTCCCTCTAGTGTTGTTGTGGGCTCTGGTCAAAACTCCTCCTCCCCCCATTCCAAATAGGAAAGAACTAACTACATGAAGAAAGTGATTATGTAATCCAAAGAATTAAATAAAATCAAGAAGATCTGATAGTAACCAAAATCAGAACTCTTCAATACATGAGGAGGAAGTGTAACTAACTACAATGAGAATATATACACTTGTGAGTCCTACTGTGTAATGATCTGACACAATCAGTAATGTAGTGATAATAAAATACAAACCAGTAAATCAAATCCTTACAATCTGCTAGGTATTGTAATACTATAGCTTCTTGTATTCTGTTTGATAGTACTATTATTTCTGCTTCATACATAGATAAGGATACTAGTTTTTGTCCTTTACTTGACTAAGATATGAGCAATTCTCCTAAGAAGAATGTGTATCCAGATATTACTTTATTATTTTCTTACATCATTCTGTCTGCATCCATATAACCAGTAATATTATTATGATTTCCTTGTCTGAATACTAACCATTTATCTTTGGTTCCCTTTAAGTATTACATACAATGTACTACAGTATTATAATGTAACATGCTTAGGGATTTTAAGTATTTTGTGAGTTGTAATGTTATAAATACTATGTTTGGTTGTGTACAATCTATAATATATTGTAAGGATCCAACAATATTCATATACAGTATTTTGGACATATATGTGTATTCATCCTCTGGTAGATTATTGTCTGTAACTAATTGTGTATTTGGTTGCATAAGTGTTTACAAATTCTTTTTGTTTTGTAAGTTATATCAAATTAATATGTTTTTAATATAATGTCTTTGTCTCATCATTATTGTTTGTTTTTTTCTGTTGTGTTTGATTTCTATGCCTAGTAACTAATGTAATTTGCCTCTGTCTGTAATTTCTATATGTAATTATAGAGAGTTTTTAATCATATCAATAATATTATTACTTTGCACAACAATAGTTATATCATTAATGTGAACTAATAGTATTACAACTGTATGTTTGTTTTTCTTTACATAAAATACTACAAAGTTGTATTCTGATTGTGTAAAACCAATTGTATTAAGTATTTAGTATAAAGTTTTATACCATTATTGTCCAGCTTGTTTTAAACTGTATAATACTTTGTACAATTGTAATACTTGTCTAGGTTTTAACTTTATTAAATCACTTGGTGGAGGTTTAATAAATATTATTTGTTGTTATTGAGTTCTCTATTTAAGTATGCAGATTTAACATCTATTTAATGTATTTCATAGTTCTTTGAACATCCCTATACAATAATAAGTCTTATTGAAGATATGTGTGTAGTAGGTGCAAATAGATCATTATTATAATAATCTTTACTGTCTTGTTGAAATATTCCTTGTACAACTAATCTAGCTTTTTGTTTCTTGATAGAATTATCTGTTAGACGTTTTGTTTTATATACAAATTGTGTTCTAATAACGTTTGCATTATTAGGAGGATATATTGTCTCCCAAGTATTAGAGCATATTAATTGTTGTACTTCATTGTCCATAGCTTTATTCTAAAGCTCACAATTACTTCTATTGATTGTTTCTTTATACAATAATGGATCTACCATTATTTCTGTATGTAATTTGTTAAATTTGTTAAGATAAATCATAATATTTGTTTTGTCAACATATGATAGACCTTTTAAGCATTTACTAGGTAAATTTGTTTCACCTAAATGTTCTGTAACTTTACACTTTTAAGTAGAGTATTGTAGTTGTATAGTTGCTTTGGATTTTCAATCAGATTCAGCAGATTCTTGATTGGATTTGTTAGATTACATATTTTCTACCAATTTCTACTTGTTTTGTGTTTTCTGTTAGTGATTCACTTTCTCTGTTTTAATAAGTGTAGCAGGAGTGCCCCAAGTACTCTCTCTTATTGAGACATTAAGCAAGTGTCTACCTTATATACTACATAGTGAAGTCCAATAATCCGAGACATTCCAAGTGTAGTAACTCTACATAAGGCAATTAGGGATTTCCTAATCCAGAGCACAATCTAATACTCCCCTTCAAGCATTAATTAAGAACTAGGACTGTATGCCTAATAGTTTGTTTAGATGCTTGATCTGTAGGACATAGAGAGCTTTTGTAAGGATGTCTGCTAATTGGTTCTGTGATTGAACATAGCATACATTGATGTAATTGTTTTGAATATAACATTGTACAAAGTCTTTTTGTAAATCAAGATGTTTAGTACAAGCATTGTACATTATTTTGTCAGACTTTACAGTCTTTATTACACTTTGATTATTGTAATAAATTGTAATGGGTGCCAATTCAGTCTGTAGTACTTCTTCAGCAAATCATTTGAGCCAAATGGCTTCTTGAGTAGCATACACTAGTGCTTACAACTCTGCTTTGTAAACAGATAGTAGTACCAAGTTTTACTGTTTGCTTGACCAAGATATGGTTGATTTAGCTAATTGAAAGATGTAACCATTTATTGCTTTATGTCCTTCTGTCATTCGTCTGTCTGTATCACAATAGCCTCATAGTTTTAAGGCATTTGTGCTTCCAAGTTGAAGCCAACAATTTGTTATA